GCTGTCGTATACGCGTGACAGAGTTGGTGGAAACACTCTGTTCTACCTTTCGTACTATTATAGTGCAAAATTATATTGGGTTTTCCTTCGGAGATTTCGTTCGATTTCGAATAAGAAAACGCGACAAGTACAATTTTGTTTTTTTAGGCGTAAACGAAAGCAGCATGATACTTTTAGAATAAAAAAAGCTCGTATGAGGAACTTGTTTGGAAGCTAATTTGAATTGTGCTGGAACTTCCACCTTGTTTTTGCGAACGGTACCCGTTATTGTTAAATTATACGGATTTTCTATGAAGCGATCAATCAGAGGGATTGTCGTAAACCAATTGTCACAAGTGACTGTTCGATGAGAGCCATGAATCGGCACAGTTACTTTTCTAAAAAAATATTCAGGATTCTTTTCACCTTGTAGCATATCGGTAATTTTTTCTTTTCCTAAGTACGACATCGCAAAAATAAGGTAAGAAGTTTCAGCATCATTCAGTGTGATCAATTTGAGACCGTATTTATCGGGTTTCGATTTTATATATATACGAAAAACACATCGCCCACGAAAATCCAACAACTGTTCGTCAACTGTTGTTTTTGAGCTAGCATTATAGTAATTCATACAGTTAGTAATAAAAATAGTCCAAATTTCCCTAATAGCTCCTAATCTGTCATTTTTATCTCGCGTTTCCTTATCATCAAAACGAAGGCATATGCAAAGAAATGTCAATCTCATTCGCGACATTGTACACCGATATACGCTAATACCATGCCTTTTGTCCCACATCTTATGAACATCAACGTTTGAGTCTTTTCGCGAACCGGCATAATACAACAAACCTATCAGCGCTTTGATTTCTACAATATCCGTGAGATGATGATAAGACTGTAACAACTGATTGCTGACCATTATCGAAGCGCATACGTGCTCAATTTGGTTATTTGTATGCAAGGCAATTTTTTCAAAAATTTCACTTGCCATCAGCACCTCCCAAAAATCTTCTAATGCAGTCAAATTAGCCGCTGGTCCAATAGGACCCGGGATTCTGCCTCCTTCTGCCGGAGATACACGATCTGCAATCAGAAATTTTGAAATCGAAATAATTTTTGGAAAGTGAAAGTTGACGACTCCGAACTACGCCGTGCTCCGAAATATCCCAGATCTCTTTCTTTCCTTTATTCTCTCTTTCTCCCTTTCTCTCTCTCTCTCACTGTCTCTCTCTCTCTCTATGCGTGCCCCCCCCCCTGCTGGTTCATCTTTACCGCTCCGCCATACTCGCCCAAGAGAGACGACGAGCACAGTACGTATATACCTGAGCTCCGCTTGTAAATAGATGAATAAAACTGACCTGAAGTCCTGTCGGGAGCCTTTGTATTCCACTTGTAGCCATTTTTCCTTCTCAAAACCGTCGTTGGTCTGCCCGCACAGCCATTGCTGTTTCTTGATTCTCGACGATTTTGAGCGTCTAACAGACGCTGATCCAAACTAGCATTTTCTAAGTCATCTTCATCTACATCCATCATCTCTGCAGCACTTTCCGTTGAATTTTCACGAGAAGGCTCATATGCTTCCTCAGAAGAACTTTGCTCTGATACGTGATCACCATCGTTTGATGTCATCTCGTCGATGGCTGACGTCTCATCAACAAGGCAATGGGCTAACGCTGGTAACGCCCGACTCCGCAAATTACGCGACATCTAAAATATTGCAAAAACATTGAAAAAACGGCTCAAAAAAATATATAATATCTTATAGTGTAGTACTTACGCCTCGAATTTGAAAATTACTTCCAAGAAAAACGAAAAAAAAATCACAGTTCACCACGGTCAAATATACGTAAATGACACAGCGGATAACTTTGAACCCCACCCTCTTTTTCGTTCGCTCTCTTCGGCAGCTGTCAAGAGACTGACCCGCCAAAACTGCATGAACTGGTAGCCTAACATCCAACTAACGATAGATGGAGCCAAAACTATAATTTGGGATAGGGCCACGGAAGTACAGATCGCTGAAAAAGGGCTAGGGTAAATGTTACCCCGTGTGGCATTTAAGGGTTAAGTTAGCTGAAAGAAAAAATCAGAGAAAAACTTCCTACTTGAACAAAAAAAATACCTCTTTCTTCAAGACAATGCTCGAGTTCACACGTGTGCAGTTTCGATGGCAAAAATTAACGATTTAAAGTTCGAATTAATTGACCATCTACCATATTCGCCTGATTTGGCTCCCAGTGACTTTTTCTTATTTCCTAACTTCAAAAAATGGCTTGCCGGACGATTCACGTCGAATGAAGAAGTCATCGCCGAAACAAATGCCTATTTTGAGGGTTTTCAGAAATCATATTTTTCTGATGTCTTAAAAAAACTGGAAGGCCGTTTCATAAAATAGATCGACCTTTAAGGAGAATATGTTAAAAATAAAATAAAAATTACATACACAAAACTGTTTTTCCCTTCTTTGTGTAAACACTTATTGCCCCCCCCCCCCCCCCTCGTAGCTAAAAACAAGTATGCAATTTTGTACATGTACGTTAATTTTCAAAGATTGTACTATAGTAAAGATCCTGAAGCTATGCTTCAATGATTTGAATATAGATATCACATGCCGTTTATAGCAATTGATTGTTCCAAACAAAATGAGACTTTAAAGACTGCACCAGTAGATTTGCGCATAGAATTTGAAATAAGAGAAAATATTTTTGGAGGAATCACAGCATATCGTCTTATTCTACATGACCGCATCGTTTGGTACAATCCGATCACTAAAGATGTGAAAAAACACATATAAACTAGTGGGAGTTTATTAAATAACTACCCACCCTTTCCAATACAGCACAGTCTTTATCATGATTGAGTACGCAGTGGACATGCAAGGCTACATGATGCTTGGCAAAAATTACGCTTAGAACAAGTAGGCAATCATACCGCTTAATTGAGACGAAGAACCGCTCGTGCGATTATTCAAATCGCCCTTTCCGTATCGGCGACTAACATAAAAGTACAAGCGTAATAATTTATGGCTAGAGTTTCACTATCATGGATCGGAGTAGAGCTCTGGTAATCTCGATTACTCCAAGTACAGAAGTGATTTCTAAGTACATTTCGTGATTTAAGATACGCTTAAAAATGCTACTAAAATTTTCGTTCCGGCGATCTAAAGAAGACTTGACTAGATCGATTCGAACTCAAAGTTTAAGATTTAAACGATTGGGAATATTCTTCTTTTGAATGCAGAATATTAGTCACAGTAGGTCCAAATCACAATGGCAGTTACAGAACCATATGTGCACTTCAAAACGTCAAACGCATAAACGCATTTTACATCCAGGCGCATGTATGGACTGAGAAGACAACGATGAAATTATGGAAGAATTTCTATAATTATTTTTTTAACAAAAGTTGTATAAAATTAAGTAATTTTAGCATTTTTTTTTAAATAATTTTGTTATGTGCAAATTAATTGTAATAAGACTTTTTGGCGATTGAGTCATGGATAATGCTGTGATTCCTACATGCATGTACCAACCGTTAAGCAAGTTTCAGAATATAGTACACTGGAATAAAATCATAGGATCATCATCAAGGTATTAAGAACAGCAATCGGATGCATCCGAGAACTACAATAGATGTAGGACGATGCTAAAGCTCTTTTATAAAATATTTTTTTAAATAATTAATTATGCGTAATCCTCGTATTCCTCTTTAACGAGCTTTGGCGCGCTGTAATTTTACATTAATCAGAGATGGAAATAGATTTTAATGTATTCATAGCCTAAGTAGGGGTAAGAGATATAAAATATCACAAAATTATGAAAGATTAGAGGAAGCATCATACAGTCCCATTGGTAATTTGGGCCAATAAGAAATTTTCTTTCTGATGAGAAGAACCAGGAAGATTTTCGGAGAAGACAAGTCACCTTTCGTCCTTTTTGTCGGTGTTTAACCGACTACGCCATATTCTTTCTTAAAGGATCTGGCAGAATTTGTAAGTTAAGTGGGTTGTAGGTTAAGTGCTGCTGTTCGGGTGCGTTAATTAAAAGATTTTTATGAGGTTGCTATAAAGCATACAAAATAATGAAATCAAACTACAAATAGAAAACCCAGAATCTCTTTCCCCGATAATAAAAGAATTAGAAAAGAAAAATACTGATTTTTACATATTACAGAAGAAATAAAACAAACCGAATAAGGTAGTTTCAAAAAATATGCATTCTTCAGTCAATATTGATGAATTAAAAAAATATTGAAACGTAAATAAATATGGTAATAACCATAAAGTAATTATGATCTCAAATATTAAACATAAAATAACTCAGCAGCCATTACTAATATTTTTCATGGAATTAAAAATATGAACCAAATTATCAGTTTCGAAACACCGCGTAAAAAAAGAGATATTCCTGAATGCATGCATTACCAAGAATATGGTCATATCAAAACTTATTGCCATAAAAGCCTCGTTCGTGCAAAATGTGCAAAGAATCGTTTTACATCAAATTATCTAACATAAGTAAAAATAAAAGATATCAAATGTTCAAACTATGACAAAAATATATCTAGTCATAAATGATTTAACGCTACCAAACTTGAGTAAAAATGATCTACAACATTAATATCAAAACAATTAACAAGAACAGAAAGTGCCATAGATTGAACATTTCGTACACACAGGTCGCAAATATCAATATATATGAAACGGTAGAAGAAGCTAAATAAATACAGATCCAACAGTAAACAATAACAATAACAGTTATTTAGAAGATATGTTGATTCAGTTAATGAATGGTATGGATATATTTGTTATTGTTATTGTTTAGAGTCATGTGCACTCCGCACTCACCTCCTTGCAGCTCGTAACCGCGATTGCTGAAATTATTATCTTTATTTTACACTACTTAACTTTTTTCTTAACAAATCGTTTCCAATTAACTCTAATAATTCTATTTTATAATTTATACAATAATTTTTTTAATCTAATTAACGTAATATATTATTTACTTCTGTCTTTTAAACAGATTGCCATGATTAGTCCTGGGATGAGTTCTTGTGAGCATTCCTTGAATACTCTTCGTTATGCTGATCGAGTAAAAGAACTAGCGGTCACGGAACCAGCGGAAATAAAAGACTTTTCATTAGAAAATGAGCGTAACATGTTAGTTGACGAAACAATGCACATTATGGTTCCAAGTGAAAGCGATTTAGCACAACTGATATCCTTGAATGTAAGTAGCTACTTATTACGCTTAAGATAGTTTGATTGTTTTCAGATAATACAAATCTAACAATTGAAAAAGTATATTATATAATTTATTTTATTGAATAGCTATCAAATAATAATATTAGCAATCAATCAAATCGGAAAATTGGGTATGATCGTTCACACATCTTATAAAAAAGTTCACTAAAAACTCTTGACTTTGGCGGTCTATCATATAGCATGTAAATGGGAAGTCTCTCCACTTCAACAGTATCGCAGCACTCTAACATAGAGTATATCATTTCAAAAAGTAATAAAATTATAAAATTGGACTACATTAAATGAGGCATACTATATTAATAATGTAGTATAAAAAGAAATTTAAACAAAGTAAGAAATTAAATTATTGTATTTTTTTACAGTTTTGCTTCTTTTCTTTAATGTATGATAGAAAAGTCAATTTAAAGCCGTTGACGACTACAAATTGCCGAAGCTTGTGTCAACAAATTATTTGAGAGGGGTCAAGGCGCATGAATATGCCATAGCTAAAAATAATTCACCGAATAATAAAATCATATGATTGTACGGTACAAGCACTTAAGAGATGATGAAATCAATAAAATAGGAATACTTTTTTTCGAAAGCGTCCTCACTAATGTACTACTGTGGGCAAAAAGTAAGGTGAATTTGTTTGTAAAATGAAAAATCTTTATTTATTCTTCTACATCAATGTCATCTCCTTCGAAGTAATCCCCTCCCGATAAAATACACTTATGCCAACGTTTTTTCCAATCCTCGAAACATGCCAAATAGTCCCTTTCCGGTATAGCCATCAGCGTCTTCTTCGATTCAACTCTTATCTCCTCAATCGACTCGAAACGCGTTGCCCGGAGTGGTCTCTTGAGTTTTGGGAATAGCCAGAAGTCACACGGAGCCAAATCAGGCGAATACGGTGGTTGCGGAACGATATGCGTCGAATTTTTGGCGAAATGGTCACGAAGAACGAGTGAACGAATTGAGCGTTTTCGGTACCAAACGAGATTTGACTTTTCGTAGGCCCAAATGGTCTTTCAAAATTGTTTTCACAGATCCTTCTGATATTCCGATCATATCAGTAAGGTCTCTAACAGTCAACCGACGATTTTCGAGCACTAATTCCTTCACTTTATTGACGTGTTGGTCATCTGTTGACGTCGATGGTCGTCCGGAGCGCTCCAAGTCATCAACACGTTCTCGACCCTCTTTGAAGTCTTTGTACCACTTATAAACATTTTTCTGCGACATGGTAGAATCACCAAAGGCCTTCCGCAACATCCTCAACGTTTCCGCAGCCGAAATTTCATTCCGCAAACAAAATTTGATGGCACTTCTTTGCTCAATTAAATCAGACATTGTAAAAATCGAAACATGCACTCTTGGTCGTTTGGTAAACACAAGCGTAAATATATTACTGATGATAACATTGACATGAAATTTGTCCCAGATGTAATTCGCAGTCCTACCAACTCAAGAAAAAAAGAACTAGCCCGAAATGTTAAGCCCGCGAAGTCTAAATTTAAAATTCACCTTACTTTTTGCCCACAGTAGTATGATCATCAACGCAAAAATAAATGCCTTGATCTTATCAAAATTTTCGGTTAGCCGCAATATTCTCTACTGATCATCATCAGACGTCATTCGGAAAAGCACGCAAGAGACAGAGAGAGACGAAGAGAGAGGGAGAGAGAGAGAGAGAGAGAGAAATTGACTGATGATCATGGCGAAGAAAATGGCATCTTTCTGATGCTCTCGCTGATAGCTGACTCCGCTGCTGGACGGGTTCGCTAATGCGGTGACTACTGATGGTTGCTCACCGGGCTGTTCCCGCTGGACCGTTTTCTTACTCTCATTAACGGTTCTATTCCATGTTCTCGGCTTCAAAAAACCGTACGTTTCTTTGCTTTACGCGTCACATGCGCAAAGTAGTCGATGTAAATATAGTGCCGGTCAATTGCTTTTATCCACTGAAAATGAAATTAGTTAAAACTTAGAAGTTTTATATGTAAAACAACAATAAACGTACAGAGACCAGCGACCGTGCATTTGAAAGCTCTTGAAAAGATTCCCATCTTTGATTCCGGCCTGTATCGTAAAAAAAGATTATAACAAAATACTTTATTAAATCAAGAAATAAGACATAATCAATGTTTCCGTTATAATATTAAGAATTTTTGTACAGATAGTAAACATATCTTATTTTCTGAATAAATAATAGTGCAGTTATGTACAGACAAATTGTACGAATTTTAGTAAGTGTTAAATTTCAGTGTCAAATTTTCTATTTTATAAGTAATATTAAAATTAAATTAAGTTTTGAAAAGATCTTTTGAATGACCATACCACCGAAGTCAAACTTATCTATGGACGAGCGTGCAACAATTAAGGCCTTACACAAACTTGGTCAAAGCAATCGCCAAATTGCACATGATCTGAAAATTCCCAAACGTAGCGTGGATTATAACGTATCTAAATTACTTAACACTAAAAATAGACATAGGAATGTAAAATCAAGTGTAACAACCAAGGAAAAAATAATAATTGTATGTCACAAGTTAATTTACGCGATAGAGGATTAACTGCAGCTCAAATCAAATTTGAAAATAAAAATAAGTGAAACAACTATTAAAAGAAGACTTCGAGAACGAGGTCTTTTTAGTCAAGTTGCTGTTAAAAAACCTTTACTTTGAGAAGTTAACAGAAAAAAACGTTTATTTTGGGCCAGAGAACATAGATATTGAACTACAGCTGATTAGAAAAAAATTCTATGAAATGACGAATCTAAATTTGAAATATTTGGAAACAAACGGAAAATTTATATATGTCGATGAATGAATAAAAATTTTTTAGAAAATTGTATTGTACCTACAGTTAAGCTTGGTAGCGTATCAGTAATAGTTTGGGTATGTTTTGAAGATTTCTATGTTGGCGGCTTTGTAAAAATAGATGGAATTTTAAAGAAAGAAGTCTATCACAATATTATTTAAAGACATGTCATTCCTTCAGGAATTAGAATAATTGGTTGGCTCTAATTTTATATTCTAACAAGACAATGACCTAAAACATACATCTAACCATCGTAAGTTACCTAAAGAGTCTTGAAGAAAGAGAAAAACTGAAATGTACTCGTATGGTTTGGCCTACCTAATCGCCGAATTGACATCTCATTGAATTGTTATGGAAAGAGCATAATTGTACTGTACAAAAGGTAAGTCCTACGGCGCGGACACATCTATGGGCTATATTGTAAGAAGAATAGAATAAAATCTCAGAAAATACGATAAACAATCTTGATAACAGAATGCCTAGAATTTGCCGAGCAGTAATTAAAAGTAAAGATAGATACTTTGGTAAAAGTAATGTTTAATTATTATGTTAGATGATATTATTATTAGAAATATTTACTATACACAGTGAATATAATTAATAAATAAATTTATATATATTGACGACCAATGTTGAAGATAACTTATTTACAAAAATCATGATTGTGTTTTGGAAAACTGTTGTTTTATGTTGACTATACAAATATAAAAACTTTACTAAAAAATACAATGTTGCTTGTATGTATATTAAACGTCATAAAGATTCATTGAAATTTGAAAAAATTAATTTAAACAAACATTAAATATTTGTTATTGATCACAGTACCTATCATATGTAATAGAATTATTGAAGTAGCCAACTCAAAACACGCTGTCATATACCACGAACTGTATTTCACGCAATTGTATTGCAAATAAATTGCCTTCATTAGATAGGTCATGAATTTTTTTATGAGAAGAATGGATATGTATAGTTTTATCACAATATTTCATCCACATCATGTAATAAAATATCAGGTAAAGAAAGTAAAAATTTTTTTTTCGAAAAAAAATCTGATAAATTCTATTACATTATACTTAGATTAACTAACATTTCCTTGGAGTTAAATATTTTTCTATCTTTCGAATTTACCGAGATATTTTAAATTAAAAAAATGGTTAATATCCATTAAAAACTCAATTACGTGCCTTGTATTCGACGAATTTGAATTTATAATAAGTGTTATAGATAGTACTTGGAAAAAGATAACGTATATCAAATTTTGCTATGATTTTTTTTCACGATATAGGCCGAAACCAATGATGGGCTAAGAGTATTGGATTTTCGAAATTGAATTATCGTTTTTTTCAAGAGCTTTCAAATGCACTGTCACTGGTCTCTGTACGTTCATTGTTGACTTACATATAAAACTTCTAAGATTTGAACAATTTAATTTTAGATGAGCAAAAGCAATTAGGCACGAACTATACGTGCGACGGTCATCTTTAAACGCTAACCGGAAATATATAAAACTCAGTAGTAACCGTGTGCTTGATTCTTCTTACGAAGGGGGGTCAATAAGTCTTTAAAAAATCCAAGAGATGGCGCTTGTCACGCATAAATTATGATGTTTTTGGCAAGCAATACTACTAACTAGATATCTTACAAAGTTTCAACTCGATTCATTAAGTCGTTTTTTGTGAGCGTTGGTTGAACAAAAAGTTATTGGTTTATTTGAAAAATGGAAAAAACAGAGTTTCGAGCGGTGATAAAACATTGTCATTTGAAAGGCTTTACACCAAAAGAAATCACAGTTGAGTTGAACGCCGTTCATGGCAAGTCTGCCCCTGTGTTTAAGACTGTTTATGACTGGATAAATGAATTTAAACACGGCCGTACAACAACAAAAGATGAACCTCGTTCAGGACGCCCCGTAGAAGTGAGTACGCCCGAAATGGTCAACAAAATCCATGATATGGTGTTGAGTTGATAGAAGATTAAATTTGCAAAAAATTAGTTGAGGCCACAGGGGTACCATCATTTCAATTTTGCATAAAAAATTGGGGATATAAAAAATATCAGCTAGATGGGTGCCCCGTTTGCTCACTGTTGAAAACAAACGAACCCGCGTGGTCACCTCTGAACCTCTTTTGGCACGCATACGTCGTAATCTGGAAGACTTTT